TCAAAAGCAAAAATTAAGTTTGTTCAACTCTAAACCCAGTCCCCAAGTAAATTAGGTCATTAAATAAAAAACTAGCAAAACGAGTTGCGCGGTGTCCCCACCACTTTTCAACGCAAAGTTACGCCACTGCATTAGACTCAATGTGTTTTAAAAATCTTGGCTTTTCTCTTCCCTTTCACAAACCGATCCATCTCCCATTCTAAGTTACGTCCTTTGGCTGTTTACCGTTTTATTTCTTTTCTTTTTCTGCTGATGGCCCGCGCTCGACTTGAAGCAGCGCTGCTTAGACCGATGGGTGTGTCATCAAAGTACTGCGAGAGCTATAAGAGAAGCGCGAACGTCTCCTTATGCTTTCTCTCGCCGTACTTTGATGTCATACACCGATCGATCTTCAAGTCGAACACACCTCAAATATTATCGCAAATGCAATTAATCGTTCAGCCCTAATTTAAACTAGCTTAAAGGCAGATGAAACCACGCTGCCATTCTCAACAATACTGACGCGGAAAACAGGAAAAACACTTTGTGACAACAATGCAGTTATACTTTTCAATCCACAAATTAATATTTACAATGGATTTACTGTAGTAACACTAAACATACCTAATTAATACATTATTATTAAACACTCGTTAAGCAATTGATTTCCACTTTTCCGATGTGGTATGTGATGAGAAAAGGCGGACTTGAACCTAGTTGATCGTATCATACGCTACTCCCCAGTGCATTACTCTCCGACCCACCCCACTGCAGACGCTGAATAACGCTGTCCAACGAGATGAAATGAACATGACATGAGTGTGTTTATTCTCGACTTTTTTTTCCTCAAGATTTAATGACTTTTTTCTCGTAATTTAACGACTTTTTTCTCGTTATTTAATGAGTTTATTCTCAACATTTTATCTCGACTTTTTTTCTCGAAATGTAACAAGTTTTTTTCTTGAAATTGAACGAGTTATTTTTTCACGAAATTTAACAACTTTTTTCTCGTAATTTACTGAGTTTATTCTCAACATTTT